TTTGTTTGTTCCCTTTGTTTTCCACTCCTTTGTCTTTTTCATGATCTCTGAGTTAACACCTTCTTAGAATTTTATTTTTAATTTACCTATATAGTGTTTGGAGTATATTTCTTTGTGTATTATAATATATGTGTACAATTTATCACAGTTTATTGATGTCCTTATTTTACCAGTTTGAGTACAGAATCTTACCTCATTTTCTGTCTCACCCCTTTAGAACATAATTATCTGAAATATTTTTGTCTTTATATACATTTGGCAAATTTATTTATCAAAAAGCATTTTGAAAACTCAAAAGACTAAAAAGTCTATTGTATGTATTCATATTTTTGCTTATGTTCTCCCATTCCTCCTGGAATTCTAAGTTTCTTTTATTTGTACCTTTCTGTTTAGGGAATTTCCCTTTGCCATTATTTTAGGGTAAAACTGTGGGACTAATTATTTTAGTTTTACTTCCTCTTGATTTCCATTTCATTCCTGAATGATATATTCACTATAAAATTCTGAGTTGACAGTTCTTTTCCTATAGCACCTGAAATATATTGTTGTCATTTTCTTCTCATCTTCATGGTTTCTGATAAAAAATTTTGTCAATTGGCTGGGGTGTGGTGTGTCATGCCTGTAATCCTAGCAGTTTGGGAGACCAAGGCAGATGGACACCTGAGGTCTGGAGTTTGAGACCAGCCTGACCAAACATGGAGAAACTCCATGTCTACTAAAAATACAAAATTAGCCAGTGTGATGGTGCATGCCTATAATCCCAGCTACTTTGGAGGCTGAGGAAGGAGAATCATTGGAACCCAGGAGGCAGAGGTTGCAGTGAGCTGAGATCATGCCATTGCACTCTACCCTGGGCAACAAGAGCGAAACTGGTCTCAAAATAATAATAATATTGTCAATCTAGTTAATCTGATACATAAGGTGTTACATTTGTCTGATGGTTTTCTAGATTTCTTTAATTTTCAGTGGTTTAATTTTGATGTGCTTTGGCATCGATTACATTGTGTTTATCATATTTGAGTCTTAAATGTAGCACCTTGAATTTGTAGATTTAGATCTCTTAACAAATTTTGAAGGTTTCTGGATATTATTTCTTTGGGTTTTTTCCAGCCCTGCCCTTTCTCTTCTAAGACTAGGATATTAGATATTTTGTTATGAACACCAAGATCCTCGAGGGTCTGTTTATTTACGGTCAGCCTATTTGCTCTTTTTCATTCAGATTGGGTAATTTCAATTATAGTGCTTTCTTCTGTCCCCTCCAGTCTACTATTAAGGCTATTTATTCACTAGCCTTTTAATTTCAGTTATATTTTTCAGTTGTAAAATTACCATGTAGTTTTTTTTTTTTTTTTTTTTTTTTTCCATTTTTCAGCCAGAGGAGCTTTTTTATTTTTATTTTTATTTTTAATTGCACTTTAGGTTTTGGGGTACTTGTGAGGAACATGCAAGATTGTTGCATAGGTACACACATGGCAGTGTGATTTGCTGCCTTCCTCCTCTTCACCTATGTCTGACATTTCTCCACATGCTATCTCTCCCCAACTCCCCAGCCCCTGATGTCCCTCCCCTATTTCCCCCAAACAGACCCAAGTGTGTGATGCTTCCCTCCGTGTGTCCATGTGTTCTCATTGTTCAATACCCGCCTATGAGTGAGAACGTGGTGTTTGATTTTCTGTTCTTGTGTCAGTTTGCTGAGAATGATTGTTTCCAGGTTCGTGCATGTCCCTGCAAAAGACACGAACTCATCGTTTTTGATGGCTGCATAATATTCCATGGTGTATATGTGCCACATTTTCCCAGTCCAGTCTATCACCAATGGGCATTTGGGTTGGTTCCAGGTCTTTGCTATTGTAAACTGTGCTGCAATGAACATTTGTGTCATGTGTCCTTATAGAAGAATGATTTATAATCCTTTGGATATATACCCAGTAATGGGTTGCTGGGTCAAATGGAATTTCTATATCTAGGTCCTTGAGGAATCGCCACACTGTCTTCCACAATGGTTGAACTAATTTACACTCCCACCAACAGTGTAAAGTGTTCCTATTTCTCCACATCTTCTCCAGTATCTGTTGTCTCTAGATTTTTTAATGATCGCCATTCTAACTGGAGGGAGATGGTATGTCAATGTGGTTGTGATTTGCATTTCTCTAATTACCAGTGATGATGAGCATTTTTTCATGTTTGTTGGCCTCATGTATGTCTTCTTTTGTAAAGTGTCTGTTCATATCCTTCGCCCACTTTTGAATGGGCTTGTTTTTTTTCTTATAAATCTGTTTTAGTTCTTTGTAAATTCTGGATATGAGCCCTTTGTCAGATGGGTAGACTGCAAAATTTTTTTCCATTCTGTTGGTTGCCGATTCACTCTAATGACTGTTTCTTTTGCCGTGCAGAAGCTGTGGAGTTTGATTAGGTCCCATTTGTCTATTTTGGCTTTTGTTGCCAATGCTTTTGGTGTTTTGGTCATGAAGTCCTTGCCTGTGCCTATGTCCTGAATGGTTTTGCCTAGATTTTCTTCTAGGTTTTTTATGGTGTTAGGTCTTATGTTTAAGTCTTTAATCCATCTGCAGTTAATTTTAGTGTAAGGTGTCAGGAAGGGGTCCAGTTTCTGCTTTCTGCACATGGCTAGCCAGTTTTCCCAACACCATTTATTAAACAGGGAATCCTTACCCCAGTTGCTTGTTTTTGCCAGGTTTGTCAAAGATTGGATGGTTGTAGATATGTTGTGTTGCCTCCCAAGCCTCTGTTCTGTTTCATTGGTCTATATCTCTGTTTTGGTACCAGTACCATGCTGTTTTGATTACTGTAGCCTTGTAGTATAGTTTGAAGTCCGGTAGTGTGATGCCTCCTGCTTTGTTCTTTTTGCTTAGAATTGAGTTGGCTATGCGGGCTCTCTTTTGGTTCCATATGAAGTTTAAGGTTTTTTTTTTTTTTTTTTTTTTTTTTCCAGTTCTGTGAAGAAGGTCATTGATAGCTTGATGGAGATAGTGTTGAATCTTTAAATAACTTTGGGCAGTATGGCCATTTTCACGATATTGATTCTTCCTAACCATGAACATGGAATGTTTCTCCATCTGTTTGTGTCCTCTCTTATTTCTTTATATCTTCTATTTCCTTGTTGAGATTTGAATTTTTCATTTGTTTCAAGTGTGATTTTAATTGCCCACTGGATTTTTATTACTGCTATTTTAAGACATCTGTTGGATAATTTTAACATCTGTGTAACCTTGGTGTTAATATCTTCTGATTCTTTTGTTTCATTCAGTATGAGATCATTGTCATTCTTGGTAAGACAAGTAATTTTCTATTGCAACCTGGACATTTTTGTAGTATGTTCTAAGATTCTGGATCTTATTTAAACTGTTTTAGCTAACTTTCACTAGCACTTCTCTGGCAGGAAAAGAGGGACCTCTATATCATTAATGTTAGTGGTAAAAGCCACATTCTCCACTCACCTTCCATTGACACAAGAGGGGAGGTGGCTTCTAATTATGCTGCATGGCGTAGCTATTGTGCAGGTCCTAACTCTCTACTAGGTCTCCACTGACTCCACTCCAATAGGAAGGTGGAGTCCCTCATTACTGCTGCATGAGTGGAGAAGAACAAGCTCCACTCTTGGCCTCTGCTGATACTGAGGCTTGGAGTGATGGCTCATTAAACACCAATAAAAATGAAAATCCCAGCTCTCTATGTGGCTTTTCTTGAACAGTGGGGAGTTGTGGTGCCTCATTGCAACCTCAGGAAGGTGAATTCTAGGCATCCCACTTAGATTTTACTAGTGGGGTTTGGGGTGATGCCCTATTATTTTGTGTGTTTTTTGGCTGGAGTACTTATTATCTAAATGGTTTTTTATTTTGTCATGGACCATAGAATGTTGATGTTTAAAGGAACTTAAGAACTGATGTCTTTCAATTATTTAATTTTACTTTTGAGGCCCAGAAAAATTAAATATATTGTTTATGATAAATATTTTTATTTAGTATCAGATATTGTATTAAAACATGAATGTTTGGATTCCCACTTCAATATTGCTTTCCCTTTATCAGGCACTTTGTACAACCTCAATTCAAAAAATGGGAGAGTACCATTCTAGGTATTTAAAAATTACTTTGCTTTTTAGATAACTATGTATTTGTAAATTTAATGATCCAAACTTAAATGTTTCCCTTCATTATATCAATGTAAATATTATAGAAAATCCCAAAGCCTCTGGAGCTGTAATTGTACCAAAAATTGATGTAAATCATGGTCTTATAGTGAAATATTTTTTCTCGTTTATTTCTACAGATTCTCACAACATTGCCTTGGAATTTGTTCTTGCAATACTTTACTATCTGAAGTTCATTAGAAAAGATGCCATCACAAGAAATTATATACATATACATATATATATATATTTTACAAAGCTGGCCTTAAAATTAGTTCATCCTTCATAGTGGCATATAGAAGTGGTCATCGTAGAAGAAAAGATGGGGTATATTTGGAATTTATAGTATGCCCCCTGGAAGAGGTCTTTGCCCTAGATGGACACATTTATTTAGTCTTGGACGAGAGAAACAATTTGAGGTGTTACTTTTAACACCAGGATTGGACAATTGATAACTATCCAGAATACCATACAGATTAAGTCTGCTAAAACCAAAACAATTTATATAGGAGGATTTCCTCGTTTCAAAGTGTTTCTCAGGTCCATGCTTACCTCCAGTGTTAAAGATTAGAGAAAATATAGTTATCTTAGTCACAGCTGGACTGGGAAAGCAGTGAAGTTGACATATAATGGAATCCCAGATAGCTGGCAAAGGCTGATTTCTGGGGTGTTTGCAAGAGTGTTTCTGGAAGGCATCAGCATGTGAATCTGTAGATGGAGTAAAGAAGGTCATCCTCCCTGATGTGGATGGGCATCATCCAACCCATTGAGGTCTGAATAGAACAAGAGGGTGTAAGAAGGAAAAATTTGCTTTCTGCTTGAGCTGAGACATCCATTTTCTTTTGTCCTTCAGAATAGGCATTCCTGGTTCTTGGGCCTTTGGACATGGACCTGGACTTATCCCATTGGCTGCCCTGAATCTCAGGCCTTTGGGTTTGGACTAAAACGATAGCACTGGCTTACCTGGACCTCCAGTTTGTAGAAAGCAGATACCCTTCTCAGACTCCATAATCAGGTAAGCCAGTCCCTCATATTATAGCTTAGTCTGTCTGTCTATCTTACTGTTTCTCTGGAGAATTCTGAGTAATACAGTGATGATTAATAACTTCATCTTTGCTTTCAAAAATAACTCACCACAGCCCATTAGAAATTTGAGATTATATATAAATTAATGGCACACATATTTTGAGATTTAGACATCTACCATATACCTTTCATAAATAATACCTTGTCATATTTAAAGGCCCTTACTGTTTGTTCTCTTGTACACCATGTAGTAGCTTATTGCTTTTATCCTTCTATTCCTTTCATCAAGCAAAGTATATGCGATGTATGATAGTAGGAAAGTATAAACAGTGTCATAAAAACAGAGGATGAAAATATCATGTTTTATAGCAGCTTATTTATGAATAATGGTATATTAATTTGTATAAATCAGATTACATAATTTTATAAATGGGTAGTAATTTTAGACTTCTATTAGTGTTCTGTCACATTTAGCTGATTTACTATTTTTCATTTTAACACAACACTTTAACATAATTCTTAGCACAAAATAATTCATTATCAGTATAATAAACATTTTTAAAACTTAATGTCTTTTAGATGTTTATAGTTTCATGACATGACAGATTTTGCAAACAGGTACAAAATTATAATCAAGACTGTATGATATGTGTTGTAAGAGCAATATATTTAATTCTGGTACAGAAGATTTTAAAAAATTACTTTCTTTGAATGTTGAAATTCAGAAACAAAGAAACATGTAAAAATACTTCACAGTTAGAAAAACCCAGGAAGCCTGTTTCCAAATTTAAAGCATGCCATGAAAGAGGGGATTTTCTGAAATTTGCACATAAGAAAATAAAGGCACACTTAGCTGAAAAATGTTACTTAATCTAGTTTGATAAAGATTTATATTCCCCTATGAAAGCAGATGGTAAAGATTATACATTTTGATATAAAATGGGTAAATATGGCATGATGGAAAGAACGCATTACAGAGATAACTTTGATCTATGGAGGTGCTAGAAACAATTAAAGATATGAAAGCAACAAGTATCACCAGTCCCAGATGGAGTCCCTGTGAATTTGACTAAGTGTTCCAAGACTGTTTGACAATTTCTCTAGCAGATGTTTTTAATCTTGGATTGAGGGCTGAAGTGTTACCTGGATCTATGAAAAAGCTACTTTGGGAGTAAAGGCAGGAAGGGTATCCAGGATCTTGACACTGGCTCTTAGTTTTGAATGGTGTTACTGATGTCAGTTATATTAGCCAGCTTCCAATCCTTGCTAATTATCTCTCTGTATGATGCACAAGAAGGGATGTGGGTCATTTCAGATCATTTGAAAGATATAGGAAGGAAATCAAATATGAGCATATATATATATATATATATATATATATATATATATATATATATTTTCTAAACGTATCCAACAGTAATGTTTTACAGTAAAACAAGATAATTAACCCAATTGCCCTTCAATGATAGACTGGGTAAAGAAAACATGGCACATATACATTTCAAGAAATGTAAATCTCATTGTGGATTTGATTTGCATTTCTCTCGTGACCAGTAATTTTGAGCTTTTTTTCATGTCTGTTAGCTGCATAAATGGTATCTTTTGAGAAGTGTCTGTTCATATCCTTCACCCACTTTTTGATGGGGTTTTTCTTGTAAATGTGTTTTTTTTTGTAGATTCTGGATATTACCTCTTTGTCAGATGGATAGATTGCAAAAACCTCCCATTCTGTAGGTTGCCTGTTCATTCTGATAATAGTTTCTTTTGCTGTGCTGAAGCTCTTTAATTAGATCCCATTTGTTGCCATTGATTTTGATGTTTTAGTTACAAAGTCTTTGGCCATGCCTATGTCCTGAATAGTATTGTCTGGGTTTTCTCCTAGGGTTTTTATGGTATTAGGCTTTACATTTAACTCTTTAATCTGTGTTGAGTTAATTTTTGTGTAAGCTGTAAGAAAGGGGTCCAGTTTCAGTTTTCTGCATATGGCTAGCCAGTTTTCCCAACACTGTTTATGAAATAGGGAATCCTTTCCCCATTGCTTGTTTTTGTTGGGCTTGTCAAAGATCAGATGGTTGTAGATGTGTGGCATTATTGCTGAGGCCTCTGTTCTGTTCCATTGGTGTATAAATCTGTTTTAGTACTTGTACCATGCTGTTGTGATTACTGTAGACTTGTAGTATAGTTGGAAGTCAAATAGCATGATGCCTCCAGCTTTGTTGTTGTTTTTTTTCCCCCTTAGGATTGTCTTGGGTATGGGGGCTCTTATATTCCATATGAAATTAAAGGATAAGTTCATGTCCTTTGCAGGGACATGGATGAAGCTGGAAACCATCATTCTGAGCAGGCTAACACAGGAACAGAAAATTAAATACCTCATGTTCTCACTCATAAGTGGGAGTTGAACAATGAGAACACATGGACACAGGGAGAGGAACATCACACACCAGGGCCTGTCTGGGGGTGGGGGACTAGGGTAAGGACAGCAGTAGGATAAATACCTAAGGTAGATAACAGGTCAGTGGGTTTAGAAAAGCATCATGGCACATGCATACCTGTGTAACAATCCTGCACGTTCTGAATATGTATACCAGAACTTAAACTAAAGGAGTTTTCAGTATTCATGACACCAGAGGAAAGCCCAGGGTTACAGGAGACACTGACGCAGTTGGGCTCAGACCATAGAGGGCCTTTTGTGTTGTGCTGAGTCTAGGCTTTGTCTTATAAATCACAAGGAGTCATTGCATTGTGATCAGCAAGGGAATGACAAGAGCAAATGTGAGCCTTGCAATGGTCTCTTAGGCTGCAGCGCAGAGGAGGACAGCAGAGACAAGAGCAGACAGGGCAGCCAGGTAACAGAATGTGGCCACAGTGTAAGCAGAGACAGACAATGGAAGGCCATTAAGTAGTGATAGTGGGGAGGAGAGGAAGAGATAGGTGTGAGAGAAGGAAGGAATATGCTCTTCTGGTTAGTCTCATTACCCAGTCAGCAGAACTCAGTACCTTTTGATTGTGGAGGTTAAGGAAGAGATAAGAATTGAAAATAATCTCAGAGTAAGAGCTGGAAACTGACTTAGCCAGGGGTCAGCTAAATACTGACTGTAGCTGAGTGCAATGTTGTAGCTCAGGGGAGCTACATGAGCAGTGGGCCAGGAAACGGGGACATCCCACTTGCATCAGCCTCCCAGGCAGTGGCCCAGGGAAGGGGACATTGTACCTGTATAAGCCTCCTCGGTGACAGCTAGCTGCTGTAGGGGAGAGTAGCACCCAAGGAGTAGGGACCAGGAAGGGATCACAGGTTGGATTTCCCAGGAAGCATTATGAGATGATGATTAGAGTGCAGAAAATTCACTTGCATGTGTTCTCTGGATCAATGCCTATGGAAGAGAGAGGAAGGAAGAAAGCAAGATTGGGTAGAGGGAGAGGTTGGGCTGCAGCCTAATGGAGGCTTCAGCCAACCAAGTGGACTCTGAAACTACTATGGCCATTCAGAGTTGTCCCAGGTTGGAGAGCCAGGTTCAGTCCCTTATATCCTCCCATCATAAATGGTGATGGCCCAGAAAAGGGCACATGACCTTGGGGTAAGTGGCTGTCTTCCACAAAGGCAATCCCTGTAGAGCTATCTGTAGACACCACCACCAGCAGCTGGGGAACTATGTCTTTCGTTTATGAATATTTCCCTGGGTAGCCACTATAGCATCTACCACAGAAGAATGTGGTCTGACCACAGGGAGCTGGGCCAGGCCCCCAGTGATGGAATTGGGAAATAAAAAAAAAGAAATGTAGATTATTAGATTCTTTTAGTAATGGTAGACTTGGAGGTAGTATGTCACGCGTCTAAATGGCAAAACAGAAGATATCTTATCTTGACGTGGCCCAAATATTCTGGACATCTTAGGATTCAGTACAGGGGCTAAAGTAAAATTACTGTCAGAAAAAAAAAATTATTAACATGACAACAAATTGTAAGTTATCAGTTGTTACAGCCTGCAGTTTAGATGCAATCCAAAATGTCAGGACGAAGACAGCTTTAAGTTCAACAATGTCTGCTTATTAGAGAACAAACAAGGAATTAACAGTCATTTACTCCCTTATTATTGGTATTTTGAAAAGAAGTAAATTTCTGAAGAAATGAGGAATAATCGGTAGATTTTTCATTCATGCTACTGGATTTTTCTGTTATTATCTTCCAATCTCACTTGGCAAGAGTCAAATACATTTTCAGTGAAATGCAAATATGCAAAAGGATTTTTTTTTCATGAGCATGGATACTTACTGATTGAATTACAAGGCAAATGTAACATTTAAATGACAAACTTTTAAGTTGTAAAATTGCTTTACTTTTGAAAGGTAATAACAAAGTCACTAAAAAAACTATAATAAAAATTGAACATAGGGAGAAATGCCAGATACAGGTGATGTGGAGGAAGGCAGCAAACTACATTGTCATGTATGTCTATGCAATAATCCTGCGTATTCTTCACATGTACCCCAAAACCTAAAATACAATATTTTTTAAAAAATTGATCATTTGTCTAAAATCTTTCTCTCTCCTTCCTTCCTTCCATGTCTCTCTCTCCCTCCTCCTTTTTACTTTTTATTGCTCTGACTCTTTTTTTATTCCAGACACTTTCATTTAGAGTCCTAGAGAAACAAATATTTCAGAGAGGAATTTCATGCTTTTTTTGGAAGAAAAATTCCCCAAGAGTTCAGTGATGCTCTATAGAAACAGTTAGTGGTGGGAGGCCTTTCTTTTTAAATTTAAAACAATATTATCAGCATGTCAATTAAAACCCTTGTGGGATTGGGTGTGGTGTTAGAAGCAACTCTAGGTCACTACAGAACACAGAGAAAATGTTCAAAACAAACCTCTAAATTAAGCTGGGTCTCTTTTCATTCTATTTTAATAGAAGGATGGTTCATTCTTATATTCATTCTGTTATTGATATAACCTTAATGTTTTGGCACCATGTCTCAGAAAGACTGACCACA